GAAAATCCAAAGCAATTAGGGATCCCCTTCACATCCTAGGTTTTGGTTGATTTTCATATGGTTTTATACAGGATTTTATATACAAGAACTGCATGCGACTTCTTCTTACAGTTTTAGCCGTATTTAACTAAATCTCAATTGAATTTCATTCGATTTTGTTTTTACAAGAAAGTTTAATTAAATTTCAATTGATTCTAACGTGATTTTAATTCGATTTTAATTGATTTTAAAAGGAATTCTAATTCAATTTCAATTGAGTCTAACGGGATTTTAATTCGATTTTAATTGATTTTAAAAGGAATATTAATGAAATTTCAATTGATTCGAACGGGATTTTAATTCGATTTTACTTTATTTTAAAAGGAATTTTAAGTAAATTTCAATTGATTCTAACGGGATTTTAATTCGATTTTAATTGATTTTACAAGGAATTTTAAGTGAATTTCAATTGGCTCTAACGGGATTTTAATTCGATTTTAATTGATTTTACAAGGAATTTTAAGTAAATTTCAATTGATTCTAACGGGATTTTAATTCGATTTTACTTGATTTTAAAAGGAATTTAAAGGCGGCCCTACCAAATCCTTTCAATAACTATGCCCCCCTAATAATAAATAATTTCTGACCCACCGGATTATTTATTATTACGGGTGGGGGGACGTCGTTTATTATTAGGGGGAAGGGATTATTCTTACTAGGTTCAACCACCAAAAAAACATTACTCATTTAGAGTTTAGGGTGTAAGGCTTGGGGTAGTAAAGGGTACCAGGGCGTTGATTTTGAGGCAGGCGTCTCGGCTTCGAATATCTCCTGGAGGCTTTACGACTTGCATGACTTGATTGGCAGGGTTTAGGGTTTAGGGTTTAGGGTTTAGGACAATCTTTAAATCCTGAACCCTAAACCTTGAACCCTAAACCCTAAAATCTGAACCCTAAGCCCCATATCCTGAATCCCAAACCCTGAACCCTAATGAAACCCTAAGCAGAAAACGAAACAATCCTAGGCTTGCCCTAACAGGTTTGCAGGCCTAGGGTTTAGGGTTCAGGTAATAATAGTATATACTAACAGTAATAACTATTACTACGGGTTTAGGGTTTAGGGTTTAAATCATAGTAAGCACAATAGTAACAATACTTTAAAGGGGGGATAGTAACAACAGTAGTTATGGTAATCACAATCGTAACAACACTTTAAAATGGGGATAGTAATATCAGTATAGATAGTAATCACAATGATATCAGTAGTAAAGGAGTGTTTCACATGCTGTTAGGCTTACCTGAACGTTGTTTTGCCTACTTTTTACTGGCCAGAATTACCGTGTCACCAGGCAGCCCGGACAGATTTGTCACAGGTAAATTCTAGGTCTAGGGGGTTTACGGCTTACAGAGCCCCACAACCCACCAATAGGACCTACATGGGCGCTCTAGACGGTCAGTTGGATGCTTATGGTGCTCTAGCAGCTTCACCCAATATTGCGTAAGTGTAACCCTGAAACCCTAAACCCCCAAACCCTAAACCTAGACCCCACAGTTCAGGTGGAAGTCCTTCAACAGCATCCCCGAACCCTAGGGTACAACCTTAGGGTACAGCCTTGACGCCATTGACGCCTAAGTTATGTATCCTTATACAAGCCCTATGTACCCCCTATACACCCTTATTAAGGGACCCCGGATGCTTTCCAAAGTAAACCCCAGACCTAATCCGTGAATGTGAAACCTGAAACTTAAACCCTAAATCTAAACCTCGGCACGGCATAGCCACCTTCCACAGGGCGGCGCTTGCGCCACTTTCTCATCTCAAGGCGCGCAGCTGGGGACAAGCAATAGCACGACATGGTGATATTTCCCAGAATTGGAGGTTCATCTGAAGGGGAGATAGGGACTGGATAGGGACATTTCGGGCCCATACAAAGATTTCAGTATTCAGCGGTTTATAGGGGTCCCCTGCGTATAACAACTAGCACCTGGTAGATGGTGTCGGGTTTGGGGTTCAGGGTGATGCTGATGATTCCTATCAAGCGCACGTCTTTTCCCGTGGACCCTGCATATCCTCTAAACCCTAAACCCTAAACGGTAGTTTCCATTGTCTTGTCCATTTTCTTTTCCATTATCCCAAAAGAATCCCTATACAACCCCTATTTGCTTAGCGGGGATTATATGATGACTGTACATATATATATATATGTAGGGTTTACAGAGAGGAGCCTGCATAGCAATAATGTGGCTGCTAGGCACACCATCAGGGCGCCACTTCCCTAGGGCTCCATGTCTGTGTATAACTTATACCTACAGTGGGCCCCAAAGTCTATAGAAATTACCTACATTCGGCCCCAAAGTCTATACATGTGACCTGCATTGGGCTATTTGGAGCCTTGGAGCTTGTCAAAATTGAGCAGGGGCCTTTCCCATCGTGTCAGATGCTGCCAGGACAAGTTCAACCTCAAACCCTAAATCTAGGTCAGCAGATTCTGCTCCCATCTCTTCTGCTGAGTCACTCACGCCTTTAGGGTTTAGGGCCGGTTTAGGTTTTAGGGATCTAAGAAGTAGAGTCCTATAACATGGTACCGCCATACTAATAGTATGGAGTAATTTCTAGGGACCCTTCAGGCGGATCTACTTTCTAGATCCCGCCCAGGAGCCTGGGCGAGCGCCCACTTCACTTTCAGATTTGAACAGTTGCTGATACAACAGGATGTCGCCGTGATATCATGTACACCACAGGTTTTACTCGTGCTTTTCACAAGGTTGGGGCCCCTACTACGGTGGATATTCGAAATCCTGCTGACCCCAAGTACCTTATACCATGAGAATTATGGTGTAGTGTGGCATATTAAGGTAATGCAGAACTGTTAGTATCAACAGTATGTACTCCAAGCATTCTGGGATCTCAAGCCTGGGCCCATGTTGAGAGACTCTTATTTCCAGTTGAGGGTTCAGGGTGTAGACAAACATGTAAACCCACGCGGTTTAGGGTTCAGGGTTTAGGGTTTAGGGAACAGATGCCTTGGTAGAGCCTCCACAGGGAGGGCGAAGATCTTGCAAAGCAGCCTCCTGGAGGGGCCCATGATCAATCTATAGCCTAGTTCGGGAAATGTTTCAGGTTTGAAAGGAGGGTGCTCTAAACTATATAATCCGTATAATCCCTATCGTTTCCATTTTTCCATGATCCCAATACATAACCCCAACCCTAACCCCTAAGCAGGAGGAGAAACGCATCTGCTTCAGCTGTACACCATCCGTTTGGGCAGCAAGTGCAGCCCCAATCTGGCCAATCCCTAAACCCTCTACCCCAAGCCCTAGACCCAAAGCTCCTAAACCCTAAACCTTATACAACCCCATTATAGTTGTTTCCATTCTCTTTTCCATTATAAATGTGTTTTGGTGAGAACTCGTACTAGGATTCCCCACAGGCACAACATTGTCTCACTGGTTCTGAGTATGGAATATTCGAACAGAATCTTAATATGACATATTCCCAAGTCCCCCCCCCACTTAGCAGTAAGTTGGATGGTCTGGGTAGGAAATTAATTTTTCTGAGTTGAGAAGATTGGGAGAGGCGGGCAGCTACGCCATCTGGAGTGATGGCGAAGAGCACAAGCCTGTGGCGCGGTGTAGGTTTCAGAGGTTAGTATTTGATGATTTTGCAAAATAGGAGGAGCTCACTACATACCCAAAAATCCTAGAGCCTTTACCCATAAAATGATACCCTCAGTGTAGAGTTGCAGAGAAAATTACAGCAGGTTCATGGCCAGTATTATTAACTGATTGGTTGCATTTCCCTGGACTTGCAGCGCTTTTGATGGAACTGGCATGGTTTCGCAAGGCTCTTCGATATTGTCAGCTTGTCGAAGCGACTTTCATGTAGTACGGTTGGGAGTCAGTCATGTGATGCGTAGCAGTGAAGAGTCCCTTGCTTGCTGGTTGTCAGCAGAGAAATGAGGAATGGATCCTTAATTACAGAGGTACCTATCTAATGCCCCAAGCACAGTAGTTTCCATGTTCTTCTCCTTTGTTCCCTACTCACAACCAGCAAGCTTGCAAAAGCCCTAAACGCTAAACCCGAAGCCTCTGGAGCCCTAAACCCGCAGCCTTGATCCCAATCCTTTGGAGTCCAGAACCCTAGACGTCCTCGGTTGACATGTCGGCCATACAGGGGTCATTAATGTGTTGCGAATCCCTTCAGCCTCTATTCAAGACTGAAGATCTAAACCATGTTTCTTGGTGTGGGAATAGCCTTTTTCCGACTGAAATCCAATCACCCTAGCCCAAGGTCAAGATATCTTCCATGGATGAGACTACAGGCACCAGCAAAGTGGAAGTGCTGCAGAAAAGAATCACTTCTACCGCAGAGACGAAGAATCTTGCGCCCATCCGTGCCTTGCTTGAAGGTCCATGATCTGCTTGTCAAGGGTAGAGTGGGGTTTAGGATTCAAGGGTGTCATGCTTCAAAAGGTTTTCCGGGTTTTATGGAGCTTCTTCGGGGTTATGAGGTTTAGAAGATTTATGGGCTAGTTAACGGCTCAAGATTAAAGCTCTAGACCCGAGTATCAGCAGTGATATTCCTCATGCCAGTCCCCCGGGTACCTAAGGCCCCACTAGTACTTCCAGGGTCAGGTGGGGACATAATTTCGAACCCCCATAGCCCTATAAGCCATATAAGAGCCCTAGCTGTCCTTAGTACTGTCCTACTCACTAAGCTCGTGGCCCTCCAAGCAAGAAATTCCGTGCAAGCCGATTGTTATAGGATCTTGTAGTGTCATACTTAATGAGAAACATGACCAATCCACCATCCGCAGATCAGGCTAACTAACAGATACCCAGTATTTCCGGCGAACTGCGGAGTTTCCATGAGTGATGGGAACCCTTATACACCTAATAGTTCTCATTGACAGTGGCTTTTACAAGGAGACCCCTGTTTTTGTGGAATCTCCTCAGTAGGAACCATGAATTTCAAAGCGCTGCAGCCCATGTTCGAATGGGGCAGGACATGGCATCCTAAGCCTCGGATGTCCAAATCAAGGGGTTTTCTAGGGGTCCGAATGTTAAGGATAATAGTAGTAATATTTGGGGGTATCTAAGGTTTCCCAGTGTTTTATGGGAATTACCGGTGGATGGCGATAGCCTCAAAAAGTCAGGACACTTAGCATGGTAAAGACTCCACACTGCTCAGCGTTCAAGCCTACGCTCTCTGCACCCCCTGTGGAGCAACAGGCAATTTCCCTATTTAGGGGAACCCCAATATAGGCCCCCAAATTGGGAAGCCACCCCATGCTTCCTAAGAAAGCAGTAAGGTTCTTGCCGCACCTAACGTACGCTGCGTCCTAGACATTTCAGGAGCTTCAAAGTGGGCCCCAAAGGTACGCGAACTCCTGGCCCAAAACCCGTTAAATCCCATGACACAAAGAGCCTCAGAGGCAATCATAAACCCTAGACCTTAAACCTTATCTCCCTTTGGATTTAGGAAGGCATTCGGCCATCCACCTCAACATCTTAGCAGTGGTCCCTCCAGCCGAAAGCTAAATTCCCAATCCTTATAGCCCCACAAGCATCAGGGTTTAGCGTCTAGGCTTCAGGATTAGCCACAACTCTGAATGTTGAATGTCGAAGTTGACATCTCAAATCATCCATACATCCTACCTGGACCCAGGATGTCTTGTTTCTTGGAATACCCAGATCATGTACAACAGAGGCCCAAACACAAAGGACATCCAAGGGCCCAACTACCCCCGCGAGCCTTCAACTTGTTGTGTAACCTTAGGGTTTAGGGTTTAGGGCTTACCCTAAACCCTAAACCCTTAGTCCCTCTACAACACTGTAAAGGGATGTAAATGGAACCCACTACAGCAATGTTTTCTTAATGTCTGTACCAGCAACCCAGTTGCTGGCTCAGGCAAGAAACCTCGAACCCTGTAAGCCTAACCGAAAACATAAATCCTATAAGACCTCAACCCTTAAACTCCCTAAATTCCAAGCCCTAAACCATAAGCACTAAACTATGAAAAAACCCTAAATCCTATGAACCTGAACTCCAAAAGCTTCAACTGCTTGTATAGTCCACCCTTCAGTAGATAGAATATGGTGTATATGGGGATCTTGTTACAATATCGGGCTCCATATTCTATCTACTTAAGGAGGACACCCTAAACCCTAAACCC